GCGCACCTGGAGCGCGCCGGGATCGCACCGGGATCGCACTGGGAGCGCACCGGGATCGCACCGGGATCGCACTGGGAGCGCACCGGGAGCGCACCGCGATCGCACCCACCTGGAGCGCGGCCGGGGCGCTCCGGGCACCGCATCCCGCCCGCACCGCCCGCACCGCCCGCGGCTCCGCTGCCGCCGGGGCCGCTCCGCTCTCCGCGCTCCGCTCTCCCCGCTCCGCTCTCCGCGCTCCGGAGCCGCCGCCGGCCCGTCCTGCCCGACCAGCCGAGCATCCCCGGCGGGGCTCCGGGGCTCCGCGGAGCGCCCTGCCCTGCCCTGCCCGCCCCGAGCCCCGGCGGCCCTGCCCGCACAGCCCGGGCTCCCCCAGCCCCGCCGCTCCCTCACCTCGGGGCCGGTCCCCGCAGCCCGCACTGACCTGGCGCTGTCAGTTCTCAGCGGGAGAAACTGTTCCCTTCAGCGGGATAAACTCCCCCGCTTGGCCCGGCCTCCCGGGCAGGGCCCGCCTCCCCCGGCACCGCCTCCCGCCGGCCCACGGCGGGGCTGGGGCGAGCGGGGCCGGGCCGGGACCGGCCGGGACACGGGACGCGGGGATGGGATACGGCATACGGCGATACGGGGATACGGAGATGGGATACGGGGATGCGGATGGCGATGGGATACGGGGAGCGGGGCTGGCGAAGAAGAGCGGGCGGGAGAGGAGCGGGCAGAGGAGGACGAGGAGCAGCCGCCGCTGCTGTCCCCCCGCTGTCCCCTCGGGCCGGCCCGCAGCCCGACCGGGCCCCTCCGGGCCCGCCTGTACCTGAGGGCAGAGCCCGGGCCCCGCAGCGCAGCTGGAATTTGATCTCTGCTCCCTGTAATCTCCCGTAACTGAAAATTCACTTTTTCCGCCTGCCGGCTGCTTTCTCTTTTGCCTTGCCATTCTCCAGGCAGCTCCGCTCTGCGCTGGGTGATTTGGCTCGGTCACCTCACGTCAGGCTGTGTCCTGCTGTGACAGGAGTAAAGGCTTTTCTGAAAAGGTACTTAGCAGTAACAGAGGTAAAGCAAATGCTTTTTCACTTTTTTCTTTTTTTTTTTTTTTTTTTTTTTTTTTTTTTTTTTTTTTTTTTTTTTTTTCGCCCGAGATTATCTCTGGGCGCTCTCCCCCCGCTCCCAGGAATGCAGAGCCGAGCGCTATAGGCTGTGCTCGGTGCCTCTCCAGAGGCAGCAAGCCCCGACAAGCCTGTCACCTCCTCTATCTCAGCCTCTGAGGCTTTGAAAAAGAAGTTAGATGTGGAAAAAAAGGCATAAGATCAACAGGCTTTAGAGAGTCATCCTGGAACTCGAGGTGCCCCGGGACACAACAGTTTATCTCGAAAAACTCCCGATCCCTTGGACATCACTGGAAGGTTGAGAGGATCCCAAATTTGTCTCATTATGGTTCTTAGTCATCAAACGTTTTGAAAGAGAGCCCCATTTGCATTATTATTTGTATACTGAAGGCAATTTATAGATTAGGGTTGAACACGTCAAAATACCTGGACTACCTACAGATACTAACTTTGCCTCCAGCCTTTTGTTTATGAGAACAATCTCTGTCTGCAGAGGCTTGAAGCCTTGTGTTAATTTTTATGAGAATTATCTGTCTATTTGTATAGGCTTGAGGTGTTACCTCTGCCTTGAGAGATCAAGGATTTTTTTTTCAATTCCTGCTTTTTCCCTTTCATCTGAATTTTTTTAGCCTTGAAAATGTAGAAATATATTTTTTAAGTGGTTATTTTTTATTGTTTGGGTTGGGAATTAAAAAAATTATCTTAACATACTGCAGTAATAACCTATTCCAGTAATACCCTGGCTCAGAATTAGAAGCCAGGTCCTGAAAACAAGTAAAACAAACACCCAGAATTACCATGGATGAACAAAGAGGCAAATGTGGGTGAAACAATCTTAACAAAAAGAGGTTTTAAATACCTTGGTTGTTAATATTTCTACCATTTTGCAGCAATAGCTGAGATAGAGTTCCAATAGAAAGTTAAAATGAGAAGGGTCTGAGCTGGACTCTCACAGATTCCTGATTGAGCCCTGGTGAGAACAGAACTGCTGCTCCCTGTGTGAGCTGCTGGACAATTCCCCATTTAGTTAAAGTGTCTGAAACAGAGGATCCCTCCCCAAAATCAAGGTTTTAACGTGCAAACTTTTCTGAACTCCATGCAACTGGAAGCATTCCAAAAATTGGCAAGTATTGATAACATCCAGTTGTGCCTATGCAGTCCTGCTTTGAGGCCAAGCTTTTAATAAAGGCAGAAATACAAAGCACAGTTTGGATTTTAATTAAATTGCATGGCTGAGGCAGATATATCTAAGTCAGTCCAGAGAAATCAGCCAAACACAGCTTGCACAGAAATATTACAAGTATCAGTCTATTTCTGTCCTAAGCATTATTTTCTTTAGCAAGTTCACTTTTTGAAGAGAACTCATTAAATATAAAGCAAAACCAGAACGATAACTTATGTAAAAATCACTTAGATTTTATAAATAAGCATTTTAGCAGATCGAGACAGGAAAGGATTACTTAGTTTGATTTCCTGCTTAACACAGATTTTTAGATAGGATTTGACATCTCATTAAATGTTTCTTTTAGACAGCTAATCTTAATTTAAGGAATCAGGAGATGAAGAACTCATGCATTTTCTCTGGAAATGAAAAGCAGACCTTATTTATAATTTGAATTATTTTGTTGGGTTTTTTTCCTTAACAAAGAGTGGGGTTTTTTCAGAGAAAGCCAATCATTTCTGTATTGATAAAGAAACAAAATAGGCTACAAATACATTATCTATTCTGTAACCAAGTTGCTTTATACCGTAGTGAAATGGTCATAATAAAGACATTTATCAGTTTCTCGTAAGTTTTTGTTTGCATTGTTTGACTGTGCAGATTTTGATGATCCAGGCTTTCTCCCCTGCTTATCTGAGAGAATTGCTAAGTTTGGCTGGGACCTCTGAGAGTTATGAAACAAGAATGAAATGTCAGGCTCAGGCCTTCCTGAACCATGGGCACTTCTTCCCCAAGTTCAAAGAGAAGCAGAAAAGACTCTCTCAGCATCAGTTCTGGTTTTAAAATTAGAAGATAATTTGCCTTCACACAAGATCAATTATACTCTGTTTTTCTTATTGGGTATAAAAGCATTAGTTAATTCTTTTCATGTGAAAGAATTGCATTTTATATTAACTTTAATCAGTCCGTTTTTCATGGTGAGTCTTTTTGAAGCATTTATTGCAGCTGAAAAAAATATTATTTCTGCTTGCAGTTATTACTGACTGACTGTACATTATGTCTTTCAATTATTCAGAAAATTTGAAGTAGATTAAATTGAATCATACGGCAAAAATAGTTCTCACTGGGATGAGAAACTGGAATGAGTCCTTTGTGGAATCTGCAGATGGATAAGGGTGTTAGCAATGACAAAATAACCTCCCTTGGGCAGTTTCATTTCTCTTTTCCATATTGGTGAAGGAATTTCTGTGCAAGAATTCCTAAGGAATCCCAGGTAGGCGTTTATGGTTAGAAAAAACGAATTTACTGGAGGTGATGCTGTGATTTTTACAACTGGCTTGAAAAGAGTGGCAAGCTTACAAGGATTTCTACCCCTTCCCATCTCTGCAAAGAAACAAATTCCATCTTTTACTGCCTTTTGATGTTTCCCCTGAGTTTGTGCTCTCAGTCTCTGGGTGCACTACTCAATTTAAAATCACCACTCGTGCAGAGTGTCCCATCTGGGTGTTGTGGGATGGGATGGAATGGAGAAGTAGCCAAACTTTTAACATCTAGAGGGCAATCTCCTACTCTGAGAGTGCAGCCAGAAATCTGACAGCAGCAAGTTCTGATTGTGCAAATTGCATTGTTTTAAAGGAATGGAGTTTAAATAAGCTTAAAATGTCCTGTACTGCTGCCTTTTTTTTTAAAGTTACCCCGTGTTCTTTCTCTTGGGCCATGTAATATTTGAGTTCATATATCTGGTGTCCTTTTATTGATAAAAAGCATATCTTATTTGCCTCAGCATATCTCATTCTGTCTTTATGGGCACTTTTTGGTCTGGGAAGGCATGTTTTTAAAAAGTAAGTCATAATACCACGCCACAGTCCTATCTACAGCTTGCACACTCTTTACTCGAAGGGAATCCAGAGTTTCGGCTGCTATCAGTAGCGTTTTACACAGATACACGGCAAAGGCTGGGCTGTAAACTGCATTCCTGTGAGTGCTGGTCGAGCTCTGTGCCTGGGTGGGTGAGTTTCTCCTCGCATCCAGCAGGAGGGATAGAACCAGGCACGATGCAGATTTTTCACAGATAACTGCAGAGCGGGTCAAAACAAGAACCCCTCAAAAACGAGCCTCCTTTGCCTGAACTTCGAGGCTTGGATAAAAAGAGAACAAAATCCAAAGTATGCCTGTTTTAAATTCACCAAAACCAAGATCACACCAGCCTGCCTACCTCGAATTGTAATGTCTTTTTCCTGACCTTTAGTCTCTCCCCAATTCTTAACTTCTCTGATTTCATCTTGAAGGGAATAATCTCCTCTCTAGGACTGTCTGTAGTTGGATATGATATTCTTGTTCCAGTCCCTCTCTGATTAAATGGGCCCAAATTGCACATCACAGACAATCAGCAGGCAAAGAAAATACAGGAATACGGAGCTCAAGCACATGCTGATATCTG